AAAAAAAAAACAGTTTAACTTTCATTTTCTTTACTAGGTTTTCCACGTGAAGCTTAAAAGAGAGATGCGAGTCGACCAAGATACTCAAATATTTATAGGAATCAACAAACTCAACAGGGACACCATTTTTCTGCTTTGTTTGCTCTCACAGACACGTACTCGTTTGCTACATCCATCATTACAGCAAAGAAGTTTGAGCTCAGTAATTCATGATACCTTTTTATTATTTACGGTAATAATTTAATCGCTTGTGGTATGGAAGAAAAATTTGTCCTGTTTCTTGAGAATAAAGGAAGGCAGCACCTTCGCCCTGAAGGAAGCAACTCAAATGAGGATTTTAGGGGATGTGCATTGTCTGACATTATCTTGTTTGCCTCCCTTTACTCTGACCATGTGTACTTTTTTTCCATTCTCGGCAGAGTGGTCCTTGGCTGTGGTTACTATACATCTCAAGGAGTTCTTCTGAGCCTCTGTAGCATTGCCAAACCAACAGATGTTACAAAACATTAAAATACCCCCAATAAAAGCAGAATAAAGCACTAAAAGCACTGAGTAATTGACTCTAAATATTCCAGTTTCTTTAAAAAAAATACATCCTCTGCTGAGCCTTGGTGCTAATACATGGGTCAACCCATGAGTCCCATTTTTAAGTGACAGTCCAGAACCACGCCCAGGTGCGTGTAGCACAAGACAGTTTTTCATGTTCAGAACCAATTTTGATTTTTTGCACCAATTAATGAAGAAGTCCAGAAATGGTCCAGCATGCCACACAAAGAAAAACCCTGAAAATGCCTTGGAGATTATTAGCCTTAAATATATACCTGTATATCAAATTTTCTATGCAGCCCTTTGATTGCTTTATCTCAGTTTCACCCTCTGGAAAAAATGTTGCCCACTCCTATTGTAGATCATGGACTCTCAGAAACGAACTGATCTGAGTTTGCAGAGCTCAGCAGAGTCCCCGGTCTTGTGAAGCCCAACTCCAGCGTGGAGCGGCTGAGTGAACGTGGTCTGGACTCTGTGGAGGAGAGTCCTGGTTTCAGAGACGCTGTAGAAGGACAGAACACCTGCTCTGTGGTCCAGGTACACTCCGATCCTGGAGGAACGTGGGCCGGAGATGAGAGTCAGGGCATTGTTGTGTCTAAATAAATACATGAATTTGCAGCACTCTAAAGCCCAGGAGTTCTCGTTGAACCCAAATCCACATTCACTGTCCCACCCAGTCCTGCTGATGTTCTCATAAGCAACCGCTACAGAAACGGCTCCGCTGCACTTCACCTCCCAGTAGCTCCGTTCGTTCAGGCTCTGTCTGCTCAGGACCTGGCAGCGACTATCAAACCGTTTAGGTTTATCCGAAGAATGTTGCTTCATCTCTTTTTTGACTGCTTTGTTTCCTCTCACAGACACGTACTCGTTTGCCGTGTCTGAATCCAGGGAGATGTTCTGGGAGTGCCTCAAGAGCTCGTTTTTGATGCTGGGCTCCTCCGGTGAAGCACCTGCTTTGATTTCTGTGACTGAGATCTCCATCCACCGGTTTGTTGCAATCTCCAGCACGGTTCGTTCAACCTCCGGCAAAGCTTCCTGTAATTCATGAAGAGACCAGGAGAAGAACTCGGCCATTTTAATATGTGGACATACCAAAAAGGGCATGAGGAACTGTGGTTTGTATATTTTTAGGAACACGATGTCATCCTCTGTGTCTGAGAGCTGCTTCAGCTCAGCTTCTTTCCTCTTCAGCCCAGCGATCTTCTGCTCCAGTTTGTCTTGTTGTTTTTTTGCTTTATTCACGTCAGTTTCCTGTTTTGATCTTAAGAACTGCCTCACATAAGAAATCCTTTGATGGACGAGATGGATCAGTTCAGTCAAAACCTTCTCACACGCTTCCACTGACTTATCAGCTGAATGATTGATAGTATCCACCTTCTTCTCTTGCAGTTTTACCTCTTGCTCTGCCTGATGGATTTGCTGTTGGACGTTTTCACGATTTGCTTCAGTTTTTCTTTGCTTCTCTGCTCTTTCTGCTGCAGCTGAGACTGTGTCGTGGCCTTTATGTTCATCCACAGAGCAGAGATAACAGATACACTTCTGATCCGTACGGCAGAACATCTTCATCACCTCATCATGACGAGAGCAGATGTTCTCCTGGAGGTTCTTGGAGGGCTCCACCAGCTTGTGTTTCTGAAATGGAGCTGACTCATAATGAGGCTGAAGGTGTTTCTCACAGTAAGAGGCCAGACAGACTAAACAGGACTTGATGGCTTTCAGTTTTCTTCCAGAGCAGACATCACAGGACACATCTTCAGGTCCAGCATAGCAGTGATCAGCAGGAGCAGCTTGGAGTCCA